GGATTTTCTACTGTATATTTTAAATGATTAGTCTGGGTTTGCAGGAGTTTATTTTACAATTTGAAGACTTCTTCAATTTGTATACTTGTGGGCCTTGGATGCTCCAAAATCCTGTTAACTTGAACAATTAGTTGCTCTATTTTCGTTCTTCTGAAAGACCAGACTTTTGGCTGAAGTGACCTATTATTTTGGTTAGGAGTTTCAGTTCATGATTGCACATAGGACGAAAAGCAAGTGAAATAAATAATTGTACAGTTCTTAACTTCCTGTTCTTTGCTTTTTGCACCAGGATATTATTTTATTATTCTGGGACTCTCCATAAATGGCAGTTGGTTAAGGGAAAAATCAGACAATAACACATTTGGGAGTTAGGAGTGGTCTTCACAATCATTTTGCTTCAGCTACTATACTACTGGACTTCATTCTGATTCCATTAGAATTAAGAATCCATTCTTTTATTTGTAAAAGTAATTTGTAAAAGTAAGTTTTGCATCTTGATTACAGGCATCAGTCAGTTCTGACTAGGCTGATAGTTTGGCTAACAATGAAATGGTTTACCTAATATAGTCTCTGCTTTCAGAAGCAAAGTGTCTAAAAATTTAATAGACTTGTGAAATTAAATAGTTTCACTTACTCATAGGCTCTGGCAGTTTTAAATAAGGCAGATCCTACAGTTTGAGAGAATAATGGATTAGCCTTGATGCAAAGCAGATACAAACTAAGTGCCATATTCATTCTGCTTCCCTCTGTTATCTCGAACTGGGCTACACCTTGAGCAGTTGAGATTTGGTGATAGCAACCCTGATACAAGTCTTTTTTTCTCTTTGGGTTTAAGATGTGAGACTATCAGTTTATGAGAGAGAGAGAAAGAAAGAAAGAGAGTGAGAGAGAGCGAGAGAGCGCGCACGAGCGTGTGGTGCGAGCCAGCAAAAGAGGGGAGGAGGAGGGGAGGAGAGAGGAGGAAGGATACATTTGCTTGTTTTCCATCAGATGCAGAACCACAGAGATTGTTTCCTTGATTTCTTACTGAGTGCCTGAAAAATTTTTAATCTACTGAATAATGCAGCCTCATCTTAAACACACAGGTGGGGGGTATGTTTCAGTAGGAAAATCATGACCTCTCTACACATTGCATCACCTCCCTGAAAAGTTAATTCAATATGTAGATCAGAAAAATTAGCCCGACCCATTCAGGTTTATCTGATTATCTGATACAGTTAGTAAACTATGGTTGGGACAGTGCAATAGAAGTTATTTCAAATTATGTAGCACTTTGAATAAACTTTATTGAAGCTTTCACTGCATTAGTCCTAATTACTCACAATAATGATGCACCGCTCCCTGGAATCAGGCCTCTTTCCCTGTGCCGGGGGACTGGGGCTGATCAATAGCTATTGAGCAGTTTGATCACAAAGGCTGACCTGCTTGAGACCAATGGCAGCCACTGCCATCCCTAGCTCACAGACTGACATGTTCTCAGGCTGGCCACCTTCCCCTCCACTCCTCCTCTGCTTCCTCCTCCAAATCAATAACTTCACAATCAGCATGCCTCCCAGTCTCTGAGAGGGGACAAAATTGCCTTAAACAAAACATGAATGCATGTACACATGCACACACATGCACACTTGAGCTAGAAAAGACATGTTTTTAAACCTCTGACCTACCTTCATTTCACCTACATTATAATGTTTATAAAATAAAATGGGAAATGTCCCTTTTTGTTCTTTTCCCAAAGTTCACCTGTTTGAAAAAGTACAGGTGGGGCCACAGACTGACTGACTATTTGGCAAGTATTTGTCAACAGCCTACCTTATGTCCATCAAATGTTTTCCATTTGATTGTTAAGCAGTTCCCAGGGTGAGCATGCTTGCAGGGGGTGCCATAGCAGCCTGTGGCTACCTACCTGCAATCTTTCATTTCACTCAGTGGTGATTTCCTGAGCACTTACTAGGCGTCAGGCATTGCACTACAACTTTAGCATCCATTATTTTAAAATGAAAGATATTTCCAATGAATTCAATTATTTTAGTAATTTTTATTTCAATAAATGATTTCTTGAGTTAATTTTGCTTCATAAGCCACTTAGTTTTACTGTTCTTTCCTTTATTTCCCTTTGTACTTATCTGGGTCTTCAAAACCATTCTGTAGAAGTGAAGACCTGTTGAAAATAGATTGATTTCTATATATAGCCTGAAGTAATTCTAAATTACATTGCTTGTAGTGAAAGATGAGTAAGAGGACTCTTAAAAAAAAAAACAAAAATGAGTGCGTTGTCTCATCAGAACTGTATATAAATAATGCACAAGCACCCAATTGAATGCAATCAAATCCAGAAATGATGTATTACCTGCCTACTGTATGCTTGACATTGTTAAGGCTATCCACCCCATCAATTTAAGGGTTTCATTCACTATCCTCTAAAAGAAGTAGGAATCCATAGTTAGGGAGAAAGCAACCTGCCTTTGCTAATGTTGGGCTTATGACAGAAGTGAGATTCTATTGGAAACCAGGCGGTAAATGACCTCGTGCAAATGCGAACTACAGACATTCAGAGATGGGGACCCTAACAGACTCTCTCCGGTTTGTGGGAGGCGGTTATCTGTGGGGAGGACAATCTCAGGAAGGTCTGGCCTCCAGCACCTGGGGTTGATCTCTGGCTTGTCTCTCCCCCCGCCCCCCAACCACCCAAAAAAAAATTCTACTCAGTGGCCTGAAATCCAGAAATGGAACAAATCTGTGAAATTCTTATGAGGGTCTCAGTTTAGCACCTTCCAAAACGAACAGCCCATTCCTGCATCCTGAAACAGGGGAGCTTTGTCTCAGCTCTGATTACCAGACAGGCAGGTTAAAAACTTGAATACCCACCTGTTTCTATGCCCGTTTGGTGTATTTGTAAACTACTGAATGCAAAAGGAGGAGGCGAGCCCATGGAAGTTTGGGATGCCAATAATGCCTTCTGTCACACTGAACGGAAAGAGTTCAGGGAGAAGAAAACAGGGGACCACCTATCTGTCTTTTGCCCCTGGGAAATATCTGTGCTAGGCAAGCAAAGGCGGTGACATCAGGCTAATTTCTAAAGCCATAAAGGGAGGCCTCCAGAGCTTAAGTGACAAGGTTGAGGAAGCAATTTTCTGGGTGGGTAGCACAGACTGAAGCCTAACCAAACGATGACTCTCCTGCTTTCCAGGCATGACACCAGCTCCCACTTGCAGGCCTCTGCCACATCACCCGTTTGCCTGCGTGCCCTCCCACAAGGGGCTGCTGATCCATCGGGTCTCAGGGGTAGCTTCCTCCCCACTCCTCTAGGACTTGCCCTCCTCTGACCTCTTGTGCTCATCACTGGCATTATTTGCCTGACATTTCCACCAAAAACTTTTCATTTCATATCTAGCATGGAAAAGGTGTGAAAATTTATGATCATATTTGAGAGATGATCCCGTGCCTTCAGAGCAAGATTTCCCAAATGGCTGGGGAGAACACTACTTCCAAAGAGATGCTAAGAGCTATTTCCAGAAAAATGGGGTTTGTGGTTAGATAAGACTGTAAAATTCCAAAATTCTGTGTCTCTCCCTCCTGACACTTCAAAATGAACACTGATCAGTTAAATGCTCTGAACAACTCTGCAGAAAGAAATCAGGTATAATACAGCATTCCCTGCATTCATATAACTGTGAAATTATCTTTTATCACAAAACACCTACTAATATTTTGCTGAGCTCACTTTTGGAAGTGTCCTTCCAAATATTTTTTCTGTTCTTTCCATTAGGCTCATTATCTAATTGCCAACAATTTCTATAAAGGAGGTAGGGATGTAGACAAGTTGAGTTCTCTGCTCAAAAAAAGGCACCCTGGTGAATTAGAAGATGAGTTTGGAGTGAATATCAACAACCAGTCCCTTCTTGGGCTTCTAATCATAATAGGCATTTCTAAATACTGCAATGTGCTTAACACTGACCAATGTTTAATTCAACAAATGTTTATGAAATGGGCCATCATTCTGTGTGCCATGAAGATCGCAAGAACCTAAATCGTGGATTCTACCACTGAGGTAAGTACAATTCTGTTCTGAGGGAAAAGAGATGAAACAGAAGACATTTCTTATGCAACCTATGAGTGGGCGGTGGATGAATGGGGGAGGCACTGGATGCTACTGGCATTCAAAGGAGGTGCGACTGGCTGGGCCTTCAAAATCTGTGGGATGTAAACAGAAACTGAATAAGCCTGTCCTCAAAGACAGGTGTTAAGCCAAGTCCAAGGCCTACCTTCCTGGTAGTCGGGATGAGTGTGGTAAAGTGGGGGCTGGTGCAGGGACTGGTGAGAGCTCATGTGGGGAGAAGAGGAAGGCAGAGCATCTGGGGTGTCAGAATAAAGAATTTATATTTTATATAAAGTCCCTCCCACTGCCTGGGAGGAGTCTGGTGACTGCTGAGGGATTCACGGCGTCATGAGGGCAGCATGAATCAAGGTCTTCGGGGAACTCTGAATACTACCTCCCAGTCCCAGGGAGCAAGGGAAGTTGTAAAATGCAGTGGTCGGGAGTTTAGGTCCTGGTTGGAATCCTGACTGTCCACTGTTCCTGGGGCAAGTTCCTTTACTCTTAGCTTCCTCTTCTGAAATGAAGAAACAAGTATTCATTTCATAGGCGTTACATGAGATAACATATATAAGGCCCTGGATGCAGAGGTCTGTAATTACTGAAGCTTGACAAAGAGTAATTGATACTGTTATCATTTAGTTGCTGCTCACTGGACATGCCTTAGAATAGACTGGAAAGCTTCTTCAAGGAGACTTTGCCTCCAGGTTTCAAGCTGACCTCCTTCTTTCTTAGACCTCCTCCTACTTGAAAAACCTAGTGCTGAAAGAACTCACATGCTTAGTGCCTATGGGAGGTTAGCTAAACAGAGACCTCTTACCTGTATTCAACAAACAGCATATTCCCAGGAGGTCTTCTCCATGCCCATGTTCACTGGGGCGAACCCAAGCATCTGAAAAGTGCTCACCTGCGTCCGAGGTCGCTGCAGATGCAGCAAGGAGAGACAACACCGGGGTGGGTGGGATTGCAACACTGTCCACCGCAGCTGGCTTCTTCCTGGTCATCATGGTGGACGACGAGCCCTCGTTCTTACTATGCGTTGCCGTCTGGTCCACTTTTAAGTGGGGACTTGCCATCCCTAAAACACAAGAATCCCAAAGCCTGCAGTTACTTTGAAGGAGCAGGAAGACAGACAACATAAAAGCTGAAAGTGGTCTGAGGAAATTGTCAAATGATCTGACCTCTTTCTGGTACAAGAATAACATTTTAGAATGTTCAAAGAAAAAAAAAATTAGCAGCATGACTGGTTTTGATTTTGTGGCTGAGGTCAGGGTGGTTCATTCCAGGTTGGCTGCCTGGAAGTGGGGTGGGAGCTCAGGCTTAATGAGGCAGTATAATTCTCTATCAGGCACGCTTTGCTTTCTGAGGATTAAAAAGGCCGTGTCTACAGAGGGTGCACTGTGCACTGTGTGCAACATGACAAGAAGTGGATCTCACCCTCGTGAGGCTACTCATCTCATCCAGCTGGGGAGACAAGACTGAAGAGAAGAAAAAGTTGGGCAACAAATGTAGACAGACTTGTGTGTCTTTCCTCCTAGGTGCTTGGAGGGAGTTCAAAGGAGGCAGGGATTCGTGTGGGAAAAAGTTAAGGAAAGGCTACAGCAGCAAGGATGAAGGAAACGCATATGATGTCACAGATGGAGAAATGAACATGATCCAGATGAGAGACCAGCCTGCTGGAGGCCGAAGATCCATTGTGTGGACTGGGGTGTAACAAGAGTCATCAGGCCAAGTTGAGAGCTGACTTGCGGGCCTCGGAGTGTCTGGTCATAACAAGCATCATAAGTCATGTCTTTATGATGCTGAAAAGCCTGGGAAGGCTCTCGTGAGGTGCCTCTGGAAGGGCCTGGAGATTTACTATATGACGAATCATAAGAGTTTTTCTGGAACCTAGCTTCCTGGGCTCAAATCCAGGCTTTCGTACTTCCCAGCTGTGTGATCATGAGCAAGTTACTTAACCTCTCCAAGCTTTAAGCTCCCTTAACTGTACAAACAGGATGGAACATTCTCAGAAGGGTGGCTGGGACATCCAGGAGTCCATCTACAAAAAGAGCTTAGACCAGTGTCTGGCCCGCCGTCTGTGCTATGTAAGTGTTTCCCATTATTATCATTCCTGTTAGTATGACTGTCACTATTATAACCTGCTGCTTCCTCAGGCCTAGCTGAAACCAGCCAGCAAAGTATCCGTTCGCTTCCCTGGAGTGACAAAGGATTTCTGAGCACCTTCCACCTCCCCATCTGCCAAAAAAAAAAAAAAAAAAAAAAGACTCTCCAACTCATCCAAGTATAAGTCCAGAGGCACGGGGGTTCTGAATCTATGTCAAATAGTCATCTATTCAGATTTTCTTCTTTGGCAGGCTCTATGCCCACAGCTGCAACAAGAACATGGGGGCTGTGTCACGGACGACATTGATCTTTTTTGTTCCATCCCAACCAACTTGAGTGATACAGTCCCCTCCCAGGGTAACATTATCTTACCGCCACAGTGAGATCAGCTTACTAGGGCCTAATGACAGCCTGGTGAAGTGCGTAGTGTGGAGGTTACAATTTTCTTAATGTTACAGATGAGGGCAATAGATTTCTGAGAGGTTAAGAGAGGGAGAGAACTGACTAAACGGATACAGCACTTAGTGTCAGAGCTGGATGTTTCCAAGTAGCCAGGTGCCCCACTGAGGGATCATCTCGTTCCCTCCGTCCACCTCCTAACACCTGTCCATGACCCAGTCTGCCAACGACATGTTTCTCACGGAGGATGCAGAGGCCCTGGTACCACACCTGGAAGAGACTCCTTCCCAGGCACCTTAGGAAGGAAATCCATGTGGACATTTCATTTCCTTTCTACTACCTTCCTCCGACTCTCTAGCTCAGTCTCTGAACCTCCTGTTTCAGATGCTGAGAATAACAATACCATTTAGGATTTTTTTTTTTTGGATTTTATAGTTCACAGCATTTTGACAGTGAACGTAGACACACATAAAATTCTATGATAGAAAAATTGCAAGGCACAACGATTCGGGAATTGGAAAGTGCAGCGAATGCATGTAGAATGTCCGCTTTTAACATATGCAGGTGTGCCAGGGAGAGGCAAGTACACACATATAAATAATGTAAAATGCACACAAAATCATCCACTAGGAGACACATCTAAACAGTTAACAGTGGTTATTCAGAGGAAGGGAAGCACAGGGACAATTGGTGAGGAAGGGGGAGTTTTTATTTTTACTCCTTAGCCTGTTTTATTGTTAATATATTTAGAACCACAAACATGTATTCAACTCTTGTTCCACTGAGAAATAAACACAGTTTGGAAAAAATCTAGATGCCTATATCAGAGCATGGGTATTGGGGCAGATTGATGTGCCTGAACAGTTGGCTGCTACCAAACTTGAAGTGGAGACAACAAACCTGAGACAGATGAGAATCCCCCACTTTGCTACTGTGCAGGATCATGGCTGTGCATGCTCCCATCAAATGGATGCAAGCGTAGTTTCCACGGCACACATCTGCAGCTCTAAGCTGTCAGGGGGCTACTGGGTAACAGCTCCTTTGGAAAACCTCACTAACATGTCAACTTTGTACCTGTGGACACAGGCCGGGCAGGTAATTCTTTGCTCAAATTATGACATGCTCAGAGAATGAGCCATAAACAGGATTAGCAGGTGGATATTTAACTCTCACTTGGGAACAAACTGATTTCAAGTCATTTTAGTTGTACCCATTTTCATGCAAATGTTCACAATCCAAATTAGTCTCAGTCCACATCATTTCATTAAAGTTGATCCGATCATACCTCTATTGGGCATACTTTGCTACTCAAGTGTTTACGTTACAGAATACGTTAAAAGTAATAAAATGACACTTAAAACACTCTATAATTCACATTGTCACTATTTAGCTGTCTTGAAAACCCTAGATAATTTAGGGTTTTCTATTAGAGTACTGTGTGCTAGCTGCCCTCCAATGAATTTGAAAACAAATTGAGAAAAAAAAAAGCCCTGATGTTTTCCCAGACATGATTGGGTTTTGAAAGGATTATGGAAACATTCCAAGAAATATACTATACAAGGGCGAGAATACTAGATAAGTTATAAACAAAGGCTAACCTAGCAGCATTTGTAATCCACAAAATCTGTCTGAGAGCAGAGGTCTCAGGAGACTGGAACGGGTGACTTCCTGGGAGAGAGCACCGGGCAGGCTGGCCCCCAGAAGTCTTTGTTCCCCTTCATCCCGGGCAACAGCTGCCACTCCATGGAGAGGTCCCCAAATGACCAGGCAAATGTGAAGCAGTTCAGAACTGAGTTCTCAAGACGAAAAGCCTTTCATCTGGGAAGGCATCACTATGTCAAATTCAGACACAGACGTTATGGAGAGCACACTTGGTAGATGTGTTCAGAGCATCCCTAAACCCCAACACAGGACAAATTGTACTGTGCCTTGCTTATTTGGAGGCCGGCACGTTTTTAAAAGAGGAAATAACAATGCTAATAATTGTGTGGATCCAACATCTGTTCATAATTAAAGACAGAGCCAAGAGGAAATAAAAAAAAGTTAAACCTATATGAAAACATTCTGCTATAACCTGTTGACCTCTATTGATACAGTTTTTCAAAGTCTTTGAAACTGCGCTGTAGTCTACCGGGGGACAGTCACTCATTTTCAAAGGTAATTTCTCATAGACCACTTATCCCCTCAAACCTCTACCTGCACACCGTGTTTGCATTAGGGATTTGATTTATGGATTCCTACCCCTCCAACACTGAAGCTGACTTCCTGTTGCCTTGGTTACTTGGAGCTCAGTTCAAGGTTAAAGCACTCCCAAATCAGAATCAGTGGCAGGCGCTGCCTCCAGCGGGCCAGGTTATTGACTGCCCCAGGGTGCGAAAAGGTCAGAAACCAAAGCACTGTTTACTGCCTTCAGGGTGAGTCAATAGCTTCGATATTTTGATTCTGTTTCTTCCGAAGTAGTTTTGCTGTTCAATTACCTCTTCTCCAGGTTGCTCAAGGTCACAGGGGTCACAGAGGAAAAGCAGGCTCCGTGGGGGCTAGCTTTCCCAGGATCCCTTTAATAAGCTCTGTGACCTTGGATAATAAAAACCAGGCCTACCTTACAGTAATTACAAAGCTAGTTATCTACTTTTTCTCATTTTCTCTATGGGGAAGACAAACAAACAAATAAAAAAAAAAACCTTTGTGCAATGGCTACTATTTACCCCCCTTTTGTAGATAAGAAAGTGGAGGTTCAGAGAGTTCACATAACTCCTACAAAATTACACAGCTCCCAAGGAGTGGTAAGAACTAGTTGGGTCCTCATCTCCTAGTTTCTTTAAAATAAAGGGGCTGATGGGGATCATTACCCAGGTATCATATGTAATTGGTTTTGTAATATCCACTGCAGAAAGCAGTACATCTGAAAAATAGTATGTGATTAATATAGGCTTGCTGAATACCTTACTTAATTTTTTTATTATAAGATATTCAAATGCAGATATTTCCTGGTGATGAAGGCTAGGCAGGCATCGTGGGAGCGCTGACACCGCTGGGGATGACTGGTCCCTGCAGTCACCTCCCTGCCCCTTCATAGGGCAGAGTGCAGGGCTCAGCATGGATGGGGAGGCACGCATTATTGAGCAGTCAGTGGCCTTTAATCTTGCAAAGAACTTGGACATGGATTATACTATTTGCCCCTTGCAGCATCCCTGTGGATAACAAGAGGCAGATTGTGAAAGTCTGAATTCACAAATGAGGAAACTGAGGCACAGAGGACCAGGTGGTTTGCCCAAGCTCATATATCATATGTGCAGAAATGGTGCTGAAATCTACACCACTTGACTTGAAGTTCTTTCCTTTAACACATTGACTTTTGGGTAAAGCAGTACGTAACTTATTTTCACAAGAGAAAACTGCTCCTGAAAACTTGATAATAATTCCCTTTCTCATATAGTGGTTGTCTTTTCAGATTTTTCCATTGCTCTTTTTTCTTGTTTGCAAATGAGTATCACTCATGGCAGCATCAAGCCAACAGATACTCTTAGGATTTGAGAAATAATATTTTCCTGTGCCAAAGTCAATAAAAGTGTT